AGAGGGTCACCGTCTGTGGGAAACAGATAGCGCCTCATACGTGTTTGGATGACTCTTTCGAAGAGCTTGCCCATTGCCTTGAGGAGGCTAATGGGGCGATGACTGGAGGGGAGGTTGAGAGGCTTGCCTGGCTTGGGAATTCCAATCACAGTTGCCTCTTTCCACGTAGTGGGAAAGTAACTAAGGTTGAAGCAGGCGTTGAAGATAATAGATAAAAAGGTTAACACCAGCTCAGGAAAGTGTTTTAGGGCTTGGTTGGAGATGCCATCCGCACCCGGAGCCTTTTTAGGCTTAAGTTCTTTGATGAGGGATGAAATCTCATCATTGGACACAGAGATAGGTTCGGAGGCCGTAGGCGATGAGTTCCGGCGGTGGACCTCATCCTCCACTGCCTGGACGTGTGAGGGGTCGACGGGTTGAGAGCTAGGAGAGCATTGAGCGGCAATGCTATCTGCAAAGTACTCAGCCTTTTCCTCGTCCTCGAAGGCAACCGTGCCGTCGGGACGGGAGAGAGGGGGAGTGTGGGTGATAGCGTCTATGCGGAGGGCTCTGGCCATCTGATAGTACGCTGTATGAGATGGAGAGATATTCTCCATGAGTTTACTCTTTTCGAGGTCTCGAAATTCAGAGAGGCGGAAGCGGAGTTCTTCGTTGAAGACGATTGGCCGCGCGCCTATATTCGGGGGGTGGGATATTTTTCTGCTCTCCGGAAAGCAGCTTTTTTGGCTTTTAATAGGTTGCTAATATGTAGGGGAAGCCCACTATTGTTAGCAACCGGGACGACCCTTTCGTTCTCCTTAAGGGAGGATTTAATAAGGGTGGAGAGTGAATCGACCGCGGTGTCGATTTTTTCGGGACTGTCTAAGTCCGACGGTAGGGAGATGGTAGAGTCCTGTGAGTCCAGAGCTTTAGCTAGGGACTCCTTGAATCCCTTCCAGTTAGTGAAGGTTTTCATGTGTGTTGGGGGAGGTGGCTGATGGCCAAGAGTGAGGGAGACCGGTCGGTGATCGGATTCCTAGATCGTCTAGTGTCTCGATTGCTCTGAGGTTGAGAGAAACTCCTTGGAGTAACGCAAAATCTAGTACATCGGGGGCGTGATCGGTGTTATCGGGAAAGTGAGTAACACCGAGGGGACTATGGACGGTAATATCAAGAGACTGCGTGATATCGAGCAGTATCTTGCCACTAGGGGACGTAGTACGGCATGTCCATTCAGTATGCTTGGAGTTAAAGTCTCCAAACATAATGACTGGATTGCCTAAAGATAAAATGGCCTCAAAATCTTTTTTGAGAGGATGGGTTCCTGAAGGGATGTAACAGGAAGCTATGAGGATGGACTGATGTCCAGTCATAGCTAGCCTGCATACCGTGGCTTCCATGTTGGTAAGCTGCGGAGTAGAAATGGGCGAATGTCTTCTTGTAATAGATGGCCGTTCCGCCGCCTCGGCGGTCGGGTCTGTCGTTACGAAGAAGAGAGAAGTTTTTAATAGAAAGGCCTTTAGTGTCCTTGGTTTTGAGATTATTTTCCTGTAGGAGGAGGAAATCGGCTTCACGTTCCGAAAAAGACTTAAGCTCTGGGAGGTTATTCCGCAAACCGCGAATATTAAATGATACAAGCGATAAACCCTTAGGTTTGATACGACCGTGAGATTTTGGTAGATTAATTTGCTCTGACATTGAAGTTAAGTTAATTAAGTTAACTTAACTTACAACGCTAACAGGAGATTATTATGTTCTGCGAGAACGAGGAGACGTTCTTGTGGAGACTTCGCAGCGCGCAGTTTGCGTGCTACTACCGTGTTTTCCCTGATGTCTATATTCCTAATAGTGGAATACAGTGTATTGTAGTCATCAGCTGTGGGCTCTGACTCATGGGAGTAGGAGGTTGTCCGCGGTGGATCTGCCTTTTTGGAGCCCCAGGGAAAGACTGGAGGCTGCAAAGGCTTGGAGAGGCCCGAAGGGGGCCGAATTATGCCCTGAGGGGGCCTAGGGGGACCCTGAGGGGGCCGAGAGAAGCCCTGGATGGGCTGAGAAAGGCCCTGACGGGGTCGTTGGTGGAGGGCCGGGAATGAGCGGTCATTGACCGGCGGTGGAGCTTGCCTACTGGGGCGAGGTTGAGGTGCGCGGGGGCAGCCCTTGTAGTTAGCCGGGTGGCCTGTCTGTTTGCACAGGACACATGCGGGCGGGGATTCGGCGTCTTTGGGCCGGGGGCACTCTTTAGTGTTGTGGGGTTCGAGGCACTTAACGCACCTGGGTGGGGCGGAGCAGTTGGCCGCCGCATGACCATATAGTTAGCAGCGGTGGCACTGCGCCGGGAATCCGGGTCTATGTGGGGGCTCAACCTTCACTCTCGACAGGCCACACACTGTGCGTACCTGCCGGAAGATGGCTTTTGCCTCCGGCACGTTGGATAGGATGACTAGGGCAAGGTTGAATCTCTTGCCCGTTCTACTGTGCATTTTGTGCACGGCTTCCACGGGGAAGCCTTGGGACTTAAGGTCCTCAAGGATTTCCTCGTTTGAGAATTCAAAAGGGACGCCTCGGATGACGGCCCTGACTTTACGCTCTTCCGGGAGAGCGTAAGTGTGATACGAAACTCTTTCGGCTGTGAATAGCCTGGTGAGTTGACGGAAATCCTCGATCGAGCTGGGGATGATTTTGATAGCCTCCCCGAGGTTGACGGCATGGTCGTACTTGATTCCTGCGTCGTAGCAGGTTTTCGACAGTTGGGTAAATTTTGCCTTGTCTCTAAGGAAGACAGGGGGCGGGACTTGCTTCTTAGCAAGGACTGGTGCACATCGGGAGGATGGTTTTGTCGGAGTTGCGATGTCTAGTGTCATAAGTGGGATGGCGGCAGCGGCGGGGGCTGCGGAGGTTGTAGGAGCGGCAGGGGCCGCTGAGATAGGGGGGGTACGTTTTAACGCGGCGCGCTTACCGTTGCGCTTGGAGTTAACGGTGGTAAATGTAGACTCCCCGGTTCCGTCGGAGTCATAGGACTCCGATGAACCGGAGCCTGAAGTGGTGGCGGGCCTCTTCCGGGAGGCCGGCGCCGAGGACTCGGAGCATGCGTACTCCATCTCTAAGGGGGCAGAAGACTCAAGGGGGGGCAAAAGAGTTCCTCGTTTCGAGGTATGACGCGATTACTGGCGGCGGATGGTGTGCCTGAGGGGCAGGGAGGGGAGCCTGGGTGGCGATGGTGGCGATGGCGGCGAGGACCGTCTCATTGATATTTAACATATGGTTTATGATTGCGGCGAGGGACTCAGATAGGCTATGTGTGGCCATTTTGGGGCAGTAAAGCTAGCTCAGTAACGATGAGGACGGGTCCCTGTTCTCGGTAGAACAGGGACTTGAATGCGTGACGTACTACGAGACAATATACACGTAATAATAATGCAAGAACAACAAGAAAATGAAAGAGACAATACAAAAAAAAATGAAAATGAAAAAGCGGAGGTCAGTCAAACCTCCCTGCCCGAAGACAGGGGGGCAAGAACTGTTAGCGTGAAAGTGACTCACCAGCCTCGACGCTGCCAAGCGTGAGCAGGACAGCGGAGGCGCGGGAGCAGGATAGCACTACCGTACTGGTACGAGAGCGCGGACCACCTGGAGGCGACCGTCCGAGAACGATGCCACCGGCGGAGTGAGCACTGCGTCGGCGCTGTACAGCGCGAGCGGGACAGCGGAGGCGCGAGAGCGGGAGAGCACTACCGTACGAGGACGAAAGCGCGGACTGCCTGGATGCGACCGCTCGGAAGCGATGCCACAGGCGGAATGTGTGAAACGACGTTAGACGATGCACGGCTTTCAACGCCATACCTCCGTGCCCGTCGGATTGGGGAGCGTGAGGTTTTTTCGTTACGGAATTTCTGGATTCGGTCCCCGCGCTCAAGGCCCGCGATAGAAGCTATGCAATAGCTTAAAATGGTTGTTTATGTCATTATAGCGTTCAAATAACCCAATGAGGTTAATAAAGTTAATCTAGTGGAGTAAGATAGTAGGGCTTCATTTCAAATTTAAAATTATAACTTGACTTATTATTGAACGATAATCATTAACACACAATGATTCCTACACAGAAACAATAACATTTTTACATACATGCACTGCGTGGCACCTGCCGGTAAAACAAATGCTTCAATACCGATAAACTATCCTGATAAGGCTAACTATTTAAGTCCTTTTTCTTAAGATTTTTTAAATTTTTTATGATTTACACGTAATAGAACTATGCTGCAGCTATAATATGGTTGCAATACGAATGGGTCGATCTAACCGGTGAAAGACCACGTTTTCACAGAATACAAGCGTAAAATAGCAGCTTAATGCTGCTGTGTTTCGTATGGTGAGAGTAGAGAACCGGAAACCCATTTTACTAGAAACGAGCCAATCCATCTGTGTCCTCATGGGTGACAACACAACTGCGTTTGGATTCTTTATTGAGTTTCACTGTAATACATATATAAATGAAATATTGTGTTGACACTGTGACTGAAACTGCGTTTAACATATCCTCCGATTCTTTTACGAATTAGTTTTCTAGGACACCCAAACGCTAGAAATTAAGCGAGTACTGTTTGGAGTATTATACCACTATAACATAAACGATTTGAAATCATCCGAGATAAATTACCCAGGAGGGTAATTTTCGAGAGAATATATGTATGTCTATTTCTTTGGTACGCTCTATAGCCTAAATGTCCTGATGGATTTTAACATATGAGGTGTCATTAAATTCATCTTAGTTGACATAGGTTAGATTTGCCTTATTTGTTGTGATGTGTGTAAAACGTTATATACATACATCTATAGGATTTAGCCTGCGAGAGAATGAGATAGAATACAGTATACAGTGTTTCCTATTATCTCGATCTCTTTTTCATAAGTTTTCACTTTTACTGCTTTTTGATGGTTGCGCCTTCGTCTTTTTTAATTACTGATTTAACGATAGGGCTTAAAGATATCTAATAGAAAAGACTTCAACGCATGGCAATACTTACCAGCGCGACCAGATCGTTGGTTGCTAGGGATGTGAGAAGCAACAGATGCTTCCTATTCCTGACTCGACGTTCGCCCCGACGCAGAGCTACGATGGCAGCGGCATTGCCAATTATGCCAATAGCGTACACTACTTTCACCAACACACCGAACATCTTGCCTCCATGCCGCAGGGGGCTTATAGCGACCGTCACATTGGTTGCGTTGTATAACTCCGTGGTGACCACTGGCGCGATGGTTGAAAGCATGTTCTCCATTTTGAAGGTTTCTTTGGTCTCGCTCTTTGGGTAGGACGGACACTCGCGGGCTCAGTGCATGCTCTTGTGACAGGTGCGTTGTATGCTCACTTCTTTATTTATAACCTGGAAACAAATATATTATTTGAAATATATATTAACAAATTCACTTATCATGGACACAATATGGATATATGACCCAACCACATGCTTGGTTGGTTTACCCTTCTGTTGTCAACATACTACACATTCGAATCAAACGGTTTGCTTCGTCGTTCCTAATGCGTGCACCAAAGGAGTTTAAAACAAAATAACGTTAACAGTATACATAGTGTTTTCCAAAACGGATTTTGTTCACGTTGTTGAGTCTTCACGGACACTAGCTAGACGAGAACTGGAATATAGTGCTCGAATGTATGCGCAAGTACAAGTGCACTTTCCATTTCCTCACTCTTACTTCCGAAGGGACACGACGGGAGCGTAATCCTAACGGCGCAAGGCGCAAGACCAACAACTTTAACTGGGAGAAGAAACGCTGTCAATTTCTTGAGTCCAGGGATAAACTCAATAACCGATTTTTATGGGCATGACCCGGGATTGGAACCCGGGACCACATGATCAGTAGCTTTGTTTATGACCGCTAGACTAACGAGGTTTGACCAACAACTCTACTCGAGTCTAGTAATGTTTATCCTACCCAAAAATGAATTTTTAAATACATGATATTATGTACAATGAATAATAATTCAACTACAGTTATGTTTTGTACGCTGCGGATATTCTTACCTCTTAGATGCAATATACTTGACATTGTTTATTATGGACATATTTTATATTTTTATAGTCTGATTCAGTCATTCAAACATAAATATACCGTAGCAATAAACGTGTCATATGATACGAACCAAACTTTTAGTCGTAAAAAAAGCGGAGTCTTGAATTGGATGCCGTGTTTTTTTTATAGAATAAGGGTAACACGCGAACACACAGTGCACCTTATGGTAAGTTAACGCTGTGGCTTATAAACATCTACATCTATCCGCTATTAAAAATCAAAACGCAGATGCATTGTCACCCCTAAGGAATAATATGGAACGCCTCGTTACCAATAAAAAGGGTCTCCGGCTGTCCGGTTCCCTACACTCACCATATAAAAGACAGCAGCATTAAGATGCTATTTTACGCTGGTATTCTGTAAGAGTGTGGTCCTCTGTCCCCGGTCCCAACCCTTTCGCTCTGCAGCCATAATAAAGCTGTGTACATAAATTGTATTCAGTGCATTACAGTATGCAATTAGTTATCGCAAGGAAAGAGCACACTACACCGACGGCATGGCGTTGCTCCACTTCCAACTGATTTCGGGTAACACGGTAACTAGCCGGTTGTTGGTTTTATCATTCTGGACTCAGAGGGACATATGTATTACAATTCTCTCGTACTTAACTACTGTTTGACCTTATTGAATAATTAAAACTTTTATTAACTTATTAAATATTTATACTTTAATATAATATACGAGTTTAAAAGATTATTAAACAAGACGGATTGATCATGAGCTGTGATAATCCTGGTAATTATTTTATTTTATCCTGGTGACCCTGGTAACTCAGATGAAGATCAAAGAGCCGTGGTAGCTCAGATGGTTAGCGCTGTAAATTTCACAGTACGCGAGCAAACCGAGTTCGATCCCCGCCGGCACCAATGAAATTGTTAATTGCAATTTTAAGTGCTGATTTACCACGTGCTCGGCGATGAAGGAAAACATCGTGAGGAAATCTACACGTCTGAATAAGAAAAAAAATATTTCGAAGACATGTGAAGTTCGCCAACACGCATTGGGGCAGCGCGGCGGACAATTCCTTGCCCTAAAGCTCTCCCAGAAATGAGCGGGGGCCTGTGCTCAGCAGTGGGACGTACATAGGCTGTAACCTTACCTTACCTAACCTGGTGACCCTGATCGGGACGCTAGGATAAATTTATTAAATAATTGTATTAGTAATATATAAAAAGTAATAATTAGAGCAAAAATTGAAATTAATTAATTTAATTCAATTAATTTCAAGTCAATCGACCATTTACAAGTTAGTGAAAATTACATTAAAAATTGCGTTACATAGATAGATAGACACACACGAAGATAATAAAAGTGTGTTAAAAAAGCAAGAATTAACTTTAATAACAAAAAATAGTTTTTTACACAATAGCATCTAAATCGGTGCTAAGACATAATGTATCGAATAAATAAAGACCCGACTATTGGAACTCTTAAGTGTTAAATTATTATATCCTTTTAAATGTTTGAAGTCGGGTTTTACTTTTTAGCTTACTTATTTATTTTACCTTTTTTAAGTTAACTAAGGAATAACACAAGTTTAATATAACAACTGGAATTCCCTCTAAATAGTTACTTTAAAGTCTTCATCCCCTTATTTCAAAACCTTAAGTGAGAAGTGTTTTTCTTTTTCAAATTTATATAGTAATATCCGTGAAGTATAAAACATTTAATAAAAAAATAATAATTTAAATCGCGTCAGCTCTTTTCAAGAAATCTGTAAAAATACATAAAAATGTTGCATGGAATATCGAAATTTCTCGTTTTTTGAACATGGTCAATGATAGTTACTATTAGCCTATTAAAAACATTTTTATTTCACTGTTATTTATTCTATATTAAGCTTACAGGTAAATGATAACCATTAAAACATGTAAATATGACCTAATCTAACTAGCAAACCCATGAGAATGAGAAATAGAGTTATAGAGCAAGTAGGTAGTGCATACAGAATTAACTATAAAATTGTCTATAAATTTTATTTAATGAATACTTATAATGTTTAAATATAGAACCATTAATGTCAGTAATACACATTGACTTATATATTACTAGCGTAATTTTTTATAGAATAAGGATGACACGAGCACACAGCCCACCTGATTGTAAGTGGGTGCCGTGGCTCATAGACATCTACATATATCCTTGATTAAGAATCAAAATGCAGATGCGTTATCACCCCTGAGGATTAAGAGGCAATCCGTCTTAGTTCTTAATAAAAAGATAGTTTTGAATAATAATAAGATATGTATAGTTAATGTTTTATATTGCTTAGGTCAGTTATGATTGAAACTAAAGACAATTTATTCCGGATTTAAATTCAATGTTACCCTTTCTGCAGCCAAGTAGCAGTGTAAGCAACGTTGTATTCAGTTCTAAAGAGCTGATAACCTTTAACTCTGCCAATATGGTTGCAGGCTGCTAGGTGTTGTCACCTCTGGGGATGAAAGGAGAAAAACAGTCTCAGATTATCTACATTCACCATATGAAATAAAGCATCTTTAAGCTACTATTTTATACTGGTATTCTGTCAGAGGTGGCATTTGCTCTACACATATATAAATATCTTTTGATCATACTCGTCTTCTTCTTTATCAGAATGTAAGCGTGTACTGCTGCAATCAAGCCGCAGCCTTTTAAAAACATTAGTATGTAGAAAAAGTCCGAATCACTTTCTTAGTTCGACAAAAATATGTGTTTGGTTTTGTTTCTGTTATTTAATGGTTATGGAAACTGGGATTATGCATCAGAAATAAATCATATATTCTTAAATTATTTTGTTTGCATAACTAAGCTGTGAATGCTCAGGAGATCTTTCAAATTTTAACAAGGGTAAACTGAGTTAGATCTCCACCGGCACCTATAAATTATTCGGGAAACCGCGAGTGAAAATCTACATATATAAGATGATTACAAGTATTTCGAGATAAAGGAAGTGCATTGCACATATTATACATTGCACACTACATCTCGCCAGAACTATTTGTCTGGCTCTAGCCCAATGAGAGAAGCCCGCATTGGTTCATCGGTTGGCTGTTTTGTACTTTTAAGTTTATCAATAAACAAGTTTGAACGTTTTTTAAAGAGAAATGGTATAAAAAAGTTATTAAAATATCAAAGAATAGCTACAAGGAATAGGAAAAGGTGATCACCACTTTAACATTCATATAAAATTGTACAAAATTATTATAAAGTAACATATGATTAAAGAATATAATACTCCTGGATTTCTTGCTCGTGCTTTCTAGGATAGAGATATTTTCCAGTAAATAAACAATCACTTTCAATAAATTTTATCTAATAATGAATATTGAATAAAACTCTACCGCGTAGTGGAGGCGTAACAATATCCACTGACATCCCGCGGGTGTCGCAAGAGGTGGCGGAGGGAAACAAATCAGGAGATGGGTAGCAGCGGTTTCCTAATAACGACTGAAAATAAAAATATACTCCGGTTGCCAAGAGTGGCAAATATGGCAAAAATTCCCCCTATGAGACAATCAAAATTATTTTATTTTAATTAACAAAATACAACATCCAAACAAGATGTCAAAATTTGTTATTAATGGGAACGATATTTTTCTACTAATTAATGACTGTTATCACAGCGGAGCCGGTCCCCGATAGCGCTGATACTAGTGATTAACTCCCTTGCTCAAACATATTACAGTACATTAAGATGCCTTTCTATTTACCATTATTATTTGTTTCACTCATAAATTCGTGGGAACACTTAATTCTAAGCAAATAACAATAAATTTAAAAGTAATATGCAATACCATCTATTTTAAACTCCAACAATCCACCAATAAGTAGTTTTTTACGACGAACCCAGAAATAGGGTAATGTTTTTGTGTGTATATATATATTAATGATTGTCTATTTGTCACGTACTGCAGCCTAAATGGCTTAACGGATTTTAACGTGTGGGCTCTCGTCAGAATCGTACCGAATAGTTGTGGAAGTGAGCATAGCACAGCATGAGCATAGCATAGCATATAAAACTTTTCTCTTTTCAGTAAACGTTTTTACGTAGTAGGTTTTTTTAAACTACTGTTTTAATTTTTGGACTTATTTATGGCACTGAAGCGACCTGAACTAGATAAGGGGGGTGCTCGCTCAGACGGACCCTCAGGCTGAAAAGTTGTCCTGCCAAATTGTTCATAGTGCTTACATTTACATCAATGTT